TCCCCCTTCCTCCTCCTCCTCCTCCTCCTCCTCCTCCTCCTCCTCCTCCTTCTCCTCCCCCTCCTCCTCCTCTTCCTCCTCTTCCTTTGCGCACGACAATGCCTGGGTGCACCACGGTGCAGCCGCGGGAAGAAATCTTCACGCCCCTCACATGCCGCACCGACGCCGCACGTGTATTTTCTTTGCATACTGAAACTCCCGATCAACCGCATAGAGGCCTCTAGGGGCCGGGGGGGGGGCACAGAGAGCACAGAGGATGAGGTTGAGGGCAGCTCCTTTTTCAAAACGGGGTTTTCGCTTGAGCTCCCTTTGAGGCTCTCTCGAAGGACCTGCGGGGGGCGCCGTGCGAGGCGGGGCCCGAGGCCTCTAGGGGCTGGAGGGGGGGCCAGAGAGGGCACAGAGGATGAGGGCGGCTCTTTTTTCAAAACGGATTTCTCGCTTGAGTTCCCTTCGAGGCTCTCTCGAGGGACTCGGGGGAGGCGCCTCTATTTCAAATATGCCCTCAATTTCTACACGGCTGACGCGCAACCACGGCCCCGCGCGCGTACCATTGCAAATGGAAGCCGATCAGGAAGCTCCGCCAAAAAGATTGCGCGTGCTGGTGCCCCTCAGAAGCGCAAATCGCCAGAAGTTCCTCCAACGCTTGCAAAGCCATGTAGTGCGGCTCATGGTGCATGGAGTCGCACAGTGCAGCATGCGCTGGAAGCACAGTTGTCTCTGGAAAGCGCGGGATGTCAAGCGCTGCAATCCAATGTCATCCAGCCGCAGGCGTTCGGATGAGGAAAGCCACTGTCCGAAAAATCCCTTCCAACACTGACTAATAAGCGAACGGATCTCCAATGCGCTGCTGTAAATCGGAAACAGCGAACTCCTTCATTTCAGGAGTTGCAAGCAAGGACTCCGCATTCGTAATTACCAACTCGCGCGTCAATGAGGTTCGCCCTCGTGCCCCCCAGCCCGGCAGCAAACGCAGCGGTTTCAAACTGGGGCCTCGACAGAGTTCGCGCAGGAAGCAACCTTGCTAAATTCGCAGGCGCCACGCAGTGGTTGAACGAGTGCAGCCCGCACGTTGCGGACAATTGAACGCCGCTGCGCGACACCGCCTGGCCGGCAATGGAATTGAACCGCTCAGGACGCGATGCCATCGGAGGGACATCAGTGGGGACTGGGAAGTCTGGATGAGGCGGGCACGCCCAGCTCCGATTCGCGGCGGGGCGCCATTCTTCATCTGGCGGCGGCAGCAAGACCCACGGCGGGGACCACGGCAGGTCACCAGACTGCGAGGCCTGCCCCCCCCCCACCTCGCCATCCGCCTGCTCGCACAGGTCCTGCTCGCCCTCGCGCTGGCCATCCGGCTGCTCGCCCTTCTCCGGCTCGCCGCCCTGGTGGCGCAGGGGCGGGCCCGCGGGGCCAGCCGAGGTCGCCTTGCGGATGGCTTTCCGCCGGCGCCCGCAGGCGCGCTCCAGGAGAGCGAGCTCGCCGACGTCCATATCGCTCAGGATGCCGTCGAGGCTCGGCGCTGGGATTGCCCCACTGGCCGTCTCCTCCTCATCCGCGCTGCGCCCTGCCGCCGCGGGGGCGCCGTCCGTCCCAGTCCGCTGCCGCGCCCGGCCTATGGGGCTCAGTTTTTTCAACACGATGCACCTCTGCGCCTGCTGCGCCACCACCCAGTCGTGAGCGGCACTGCACCATCGCTGCCATCGGTTCCCAGTGCTAATCTTTCGGCACCACTGCCCTGCACGGATGTACTCGCGCATGATGACGCGCTGCTCCTCAGTCCTGGCAGAGATTGCGCGGGGAATCATCTGCTCCAGCCTGCCCCAGTCCGAATCGATGAAGTTGGTGTTCGTGCTGCCCGTGCCCTTCTCGTTGGTCTTAGCGTCCAGCAGCAGGTCATGTATGGCATGCGAGTTTTCCCTAGGCACGGCTGAGTGTTTCACCTTGTGATGCTGCACAATCCCCTGGCGCGGGATCTGGTGCACCTTCGCGCCGTCCGTGTGGTTCACCACGTTGGAGCCCTCGTGGAACACCGCATCACATATGGGCCTCCAGTGTTCCTCGTCCTCTGGAGGGGGGGACCTCCATCCCCGCAATTCCTCGCCTTGGTGATACCCACCTCTCGGAAGTGGGAGTTCCGGAGGTTCCCTCTTTCCATCACACCGATCCAAACGTAAAAATAATGGATACGAACTGGGATGATTCCGTCCTCGTCTTTGTCCGCCTCGGTGCCCGGCTCGGTCCACGAGAAGAAGACGTGCGCGTCGGACTCCACCTCGGTGGTGCGGCCATCAGGTTTCACTCCGAATACGAGGGCGCCCTGCTCGCGCACCGCGTCCCAAGCCATAATGTGGCGAACTTTGCGGTACAACGCGCTCACTGCTGTCTCCCCCAAGCCCGTGTGCCGCATGCTGTACGTCACGCCGGCGCCTTCTACGCAATTGAAGAAACACAACGTCTGATCCGTCACAGACGTCCGGTTCCCCCCGAGCAACTCAAACAGCGGGTTCTGATAGTCCACTGCCACGCAGCGGCGGCAGCATTGACAGCGGACGACAAGGTTTCCTTGTATATGTCCTGGGCCGAATCGTTCGTGCGGCCTGCGGGACGGCCAAGTACAGACTGAGACCCGCATCCCTTCGAAGTGCATTTTCTAGCGCCAGTCACGGGCAAGGGGCGCCCTGCAGGTTCTGCAAGAGGCCGAGGTCAAGCAGGTGCGTGCAGAGAAGGGGCTCATTCTCGTGAGCTCTTTGACGCTGACGTCGTACTTCAGGGCCCCCCCGACGGGGCCACCGCAAGGGCCCCACGGGGCTCTTGGGGTGTTGGTGTTGGTGTGGGGGGGGTACGGGTCGTCAGTGCACGTGTCCATCGACAACAACAACAACCACAACAACAACAACAACAAACAAACAAACAAACACACAAACAAACAAACAAACAAACAAACAAACAAACAGCAACAGCAACAGCAACAGCAACAGCAACAGCAACAGCAACAGCAACAACAGCAGCAACAACAACAGCAACAGCAACAACAACAATCATTTTTTACCCTGATGCGCGATGTTTCCACACGAAGCACGCGATCATCATGAAAACCATCCACATCATGGGGGACTCCTGTTCTATAGCGGGATCCGTTATTCCCATTCCCAGATCTCCCGCCCAATGAGGTCTTGCAAACACCTCCTCCGAGGAATTTCAACATATCCCGCCTCGAAAACACATGCCCGCGCCTTGCTGCACCGATGCGAGACCGCCAGAGGAACCCCAGCGAAGGGTAAAGCACAAGGAAGTATCGAACGACAGGATTGCCTTGGTGGGGATGGGGGCTGTCGACGGTGAGGCAAGGACCTGGCCCTGAACAGGAAGGGAGGAAGTCTCGAGCAGGGCTGCTGTTGTTGCTGGGAGCGGCGCCAATGCTGAAGAGAGTAGGGCGCGAGTCCAGCGTTTAGCAAAACGAAGTCTCGAGCGGGAACGCTGGCTTTGTTGGGACGGCGGCTTTCGGCGGCGAGGAGGAACACCGCCTTGAGTAAGAAAGGAGGACGCATCGAGCGGGAGCCGTGGTTTTGTCGGGACGGGGGCTGTCGGCGGCGAGGAACAGCACCGTCCCGAGGAAAAAGGAAGAACATCTCGAGCGGGAGCCTTGTTTTTGCTGGGAGCGGTGCCAATTCAAAAGAGAGTAGGGCGCCAGTCCAGCGTAAAACGGAAGGAAGTCTCGGGCGGGAGCGCTGGTTTTGTTGGGACGGCGGCTTTCGGCGGCGAGGAGGAACACCGCCTTGAGTAAGAAGGGAGGACGCATCGAGCGGGAGTCGTGGTTTTGCCGGGACGGGGGTTGTCGGCGGCGAAGAACAGCACCGTCTTCAGGAAGAAGGGAGAAAGCCTCGAGCGGGAGCGTCGTTCTTGCTGGGAGCGGTGCCAATTCAAGAACGAGTCAGGCGCCAGTCCAGCGTAAAACGGAAGGAAGTCTCGGGCGGGAGCGCTGGTTTTGTCGGGGCGGTGGTTTTCGGCGGCGAGGAAGAGCACCGCCTTGAGTAAAAAAGGGAGGAAGCCTCGAGCAGGAGCGTTGTTTCTGCTGGGGCGGCGCCGATGAAAGAAAGACTAGCGCGCCAGTCCAAGGTAAAACGGGAGGAAATCTCGAGCGGGAGCGCTGGTTTTGTTAGGACGGCGGCTTTCGGCGGCGAGCAAGAACACCAGCCCTGAGAAAAAAGGGAGGACATCTCGAGCGGGAGCGTTGTTGTTGTTGGGGGGTCGGTTTTGGCGGTCCCCCAAACCGCTCGAGCGTGAGCCTCATGTTCAATGAAAATGTAGCAGGCGCCTCGGCGAGAGCGCCAGGGCGCCTGTAAGGGGTCCAACAACAAGAATTGCTTCGTAATTAAACAACAGCAGCAGCAGCAACAACAACAACAAGCACAACCACAACCACAACCACAACCACAACAACAACAACAACAACAACAACAACAACAACAACAACAATTACTAGCACGTGGGGACACTCCGTTCTCACCAGTGCCAGGGTTTTCATAGGAGGCGGGCAATACCCCCACTTTGTGGGGGGGCCGGTTCAAGCTCTACCAAATTTCCAAACGACTCTTCGCCACCACCCACACCCAGCTTCCCGCCCTATGACGTTCGGACACTTCACTTCGTGGCATGCGGACGACCGTGGCTACTATTCAGGGCCCCGCGGCCGACGACGACGGCGTGCGCGCGCGAAGAAAAAACGAATGTGTCCCGCATGGTATTATTTGACAGGGATGATGGCCCTGGCAGGTGCGCAACCGTTGTCGCAGAAGTTCGAAAAAGTTGCTCGCAAAAGCCCGTTTGACAGAAATGTTTAAAAAGTGTTGGGTTTCCTACGAATCCGCAAGAGCGCGCGGGATGAGATTTTGACAATTTTTTGTTGAAAAACCATTGGTTTTTTGATGTTTTTATGTTAAAATCGCTGCGAACACTAAGGTTTTGGAAGGATTTCGTCTTGCGCGCGCGAATGTCCACTT